AGCAAAACTTGACAAAATCACCTAAAACCTTCCTTTGAGGACGTCCTCATTTGTAAAACCTTGTGTTTTGCTATTCGTGAACATACAGCAGGACACATGGGAGAGGAACTGATCAGAGATTGATCAGAGATGTATCAGAAGAAGGGAGACAGATAGATGGCATCAAATACAGCATTTTGCATTACATTATGCCATGTGATACTGTATATAGAAGCATTACCATGGTAAAGACTGCACATTACTATAACTCACTCTTCATCTGAAAAATTCAGCTAGAATATTCAGTCATGCAGCACAGTGAGGACATTTACTGCATTGACAGTAAACTCTGTTCTAGCACAAAACCTTATGGCCTCCATGTCATACCGAGTATAAATGTAAATTCGCTCAGAGGTGACAAAATTTTACATCGCGATTCTATCGAAGATAATTCGATCTGTGATTGTCACACAATGAAATAATCTACATCGTCAAATTCCTGAGAATGAGAGCTTTCTTGTGATATGTGACTTGATTTTTTTGTGAAAAATATATAAAATACAGATTATACAGAAATACAGAAAATAATTCGCAATGGTTAGGCGGAAATTCGTGTGTGGGACGAATACATTCTAAGCTTAATTTTACTGCTTTATGAATATAAAAACCAAAAGGAATGGTATTCTTTGTAAAGAAGACACTCCAAGCTTTCAAATGAACCCATATATGGGCTGATACCATATAAGGAAGGCTATGTAAATGAAGCATAAACATTTTTAAAGCGATTTTGGACCCGTATCCGGGTCCGCAGAGTTTAACTGTTAAATTAATAAATTCAATTTTTTTTTCTGACAGATAGCAGAAGTTTTTCGAGAGAAAAAAAACCCACTTAAACCTGTGATGTTCACTCATATATTGACCTTTTATTTTAAACCCAAACTTACCTGAAAATACTGTTGTCTCTTTTTGTCAGATTCTGCGTTGTCTTTTCAATGTTTTTTCAGCAGCTCAGGAGCAACAACAACATGAGAAGATCAGAAGTTCATAGCCAGACGACAATGACTCTTCAAACTAAGGGATGAGAAAGGTGCCTTTTTATATCACTGAACATCTATGTTAATAGTGTGATTGTGATGCATCTAGGCCATCTAAATGGTTTCTTCTGATTATCACTTGTGATGATCTGGTTTATATGTGTGGTTTCATACTGGACAAACTCTTGAGTTCATATCTGTCTAAGATGAATGTCAGATTTTTATCAACATCTGATATATACCTGCCCCATTTAAATTTAAATAGTCTTGGCAAGAAGGAGATTTAATTGCTATACATGGGTGCACTAACTAGTATCCACTGAAACCCTCTGCTTTTTGCAATTTTCAGATTTGTGGTACCTCAAAGCTAATTTTCACATTCAGAAACCTATTTCACTGTGAGATCAGTGTAGAGCTGAATTAGTCTTGTTGCATTGAGCCCATCTGATAATGCAACACTTGTGAGGGCCTGTGGTTTCATGTAGGACAAACTCTCAGTTCCTCAAGATGAGTAATATGGGCCCCATGCATGTTTATTTCAAAAGCTTATACTCAAAAAAAAAAAAAAAAAGAATGAATGAGTTTAATTAAATTAAGAAAAGATTTCCCCACATAATTAAAGTTCATATAAGAACTACGTGAAGTGAAGTGTGGCCAAGTATGGTGGCCCATACTCGGAATTTGTGCTCTGCTTTTAACCCATCCAAGTGCACACACACAGCAGTGGGCAGCCATATTGCCGTGGCACCCAGGGAGCAGTTGTCTTGCTCAAGGGTCTCACCTCAGTCGTGGTATTGAAGGTGGAAGAGAGCACTGGTTATTCACTCCCCCCACCTACAATTCCTGCTTGACCTGAGACTCGAACCCGCAACCTTCGTGTTACAAGTCTGACTCTCAAACCATTAGGCCATGACTGCCCGAGAAGACTAAGTACATTTATTTCATAATTTCTCAAGTATTTACTACTGAGAACAATCTGTTTCATTTTTCTGCTAGCTAGCAACATTATTTCTGACTGAGTGTAATGAGATAAACACTTAAGAAGAGACTCATCATTGCATCATCATTGTTTTAGCAGCTAAAGTGCCATGGTGTTTATAAATCCACCCACAACAAAACCACAAGCTTCACTCTTCTGCACAATGAAAACCACAAAAACTCCAACATCACAGAAGCTCTTCTCAATCTCCAACATGACTAAGATGAAACATATTAAGTAAAATTAGTATTAAAACACTTAATTAAACAAAAAGCAAAAACTTTTTTTGTGTTGATTAAATGTCATTGCTGCAAGCGGCATCGCACTCAGGAAGTCATTCAGCAGTTAGTATGCTATTGCTGGCAGTTAGATAAAAAGCACTAAAAATGTTCAGTGATGCGATACAAAAAGATTTAAGTATAAATGAAAAAAAAATGAATTAGAGACATATATAAAATCACTCCGAGGCCACTGAATTGGGCCACTTAAAACAGCTTTACTTTATTATGTTAAAATTATGCAAACAAATAGTGTTTTCTGACAAAGAATTATTAAACTAAGCCAAGAGGGACAAATGTTGGAATTGGTGAACTTATATCTTAGATTCAACACACTTTTTTTCAGTACTTTCATTGCCAGTCTTAGTATTTTGTTATGGTCTTGCGTGGTTTCTTGAATAGAGCACAGTTCAGGTCACTTCTCTTACCAGAGCTTTTCAAAGTAAATACACAGTTTCACACCAGAGATATTTCTGACCTCTTGTCTTGACAGCAGTGAATTTAAACGTCTCGTATGGAGGAATCAGCACCTCTTTCTCATGATCAAGCTTAAAATATTTTGTCACATCAGCACCGTCATAAGTGTAGATTTCAAAACAAGACACATTTCCAAAAAAACTTTGTTCCACTGCGATTAATAGAGGAGGATGTAAATGAGCCAAAACTAACTTTTTTTTCCTGAACATTCTGTTTAAATTTAACATTTGTACCACGATAAGTTAACATTTATTTTGTGTTTTTTTCAGAATCTGTATCACATCTGTTAACAAAAGGTGAAGTTAATACCATTTTAATTTCTTGTTTTGATTTTTCTTTTCATTACGAACAGCATTATTGAAATCCTTATATATCTCAAACGTAGAGCTAGTGTACACATAAATAGCGACTGAATGAGTCTTTGTCAAGTTATTTCCTGGCTTGCATTTCTTTTCAGCAAGTTTCCAAGCATTTGCAAATTTCGATTCGGAGTTAGACATTTCTTGCTTCATATATTTTGTCTCCACCAGATTCGCCATTTTCTCTCTACAACCTGCAATCCTGGAATCATAATGATCAATCCTCAGTATTCATGTCTGTAATATTCATACTAGAACACAAGCTTCCCTGTCCTAGAGCAGCTGAAATGAGAAGAAGAGCTTCAATGATCAGCAGCATCTTGATTCAGTTGAATCCCTCAGATGATCTAGTAGATCTAGTGAAGAACAGATGCTCAAAGAAAACCAGAAACAAAACAGTTTCACAAATACTAAATATATGACTCCATTATGAGTATTATGTGCATACATCTGCATATTAAAACTGTCTACCGCAGTGCCTCACATTTTACAGTTTTACAATTTTAGTATATTTTGCCATATAGAAAACCCCTATTAAATGTGTAATTAAACCTGTGTTGTTAACTGGTATATTGACCATTTACTTCACCCTTAAAATTACATGAGAGTATTGTTGTCTATTTATCTTTCTTTTTTTCAGTAGTTCAGGATCAACAGGGAGAGGAGAAGATCAGAAAAATAATTAAGGTGGCTTCTTTATATCGCTAAAAATGTCTGTGTGTGTTGTGTGTGAATTGTTTAGCTCTTCATAATGCAACACTGTAGAGGGTCTGGTCTATGTGTAGTTTTTCACACAGGAAAAACTCTGAGTTTGTGTCATGTTAGTGGCAGAAAACAGATTTGACATTGTGATGAGCAGATTCTGATCATGGAAATGTGAGTCTTTTTCTCCAAATTCCCGCAGGAGACAAAAATACATCATTCAGTTCATTCTTGATACTAAATAAATATCTTTAACCAACAT